TTATTTAAAAATGCATATCTACATCATTAGCAGTCTTGTAAATTAACATATTTGTGTGGGCTATAAACATTTTCACAGTTTTCCTACATTTTTTAAGTACAGGTACATAGAGCTAATAGAGAAAACATTGTGTCGATTCTCCCAATGAATAAAGAAACTCCTAAGAAAAGGTGCCATTCTTTATGAGTTCCCAGAGGTTGTCTACATTGTGAAGAAGTTGGAAGATAGGAGTGGTTCCTCTGATCTCCTCCTGGATGTCCTCATCCAGCTCCACCTACTTGTCAGTGCTGGCGATGCCCACTTCCTCATCCAGCTGGAAGAAAATAAAACAGTTCAACAGAGACATTTCAGGGTCAGGGCCTGTAGCACAGTGTATACACACATACACTTGAGGTGGGGTACATCTCTTTTCCTTGTCTGTGAAGATTCTCACTCATCCAGGTCATGGTTATTCTCGTAGATTAATCATAGCAACTGGACTTGCTTGAGTTCCTTGAAGACTTTCCCCTCTCATCCAAGAGGCTTCATCAGTTCTGACTGACTAGTTGGGAGTTGTACCTTAAGGACAAGACACCGAGACATAAACAAAGCAACGTGGTATATGCAGTCCAGTGCAGCGAGGAATGCCAAGACCTGTACATCAGATAGACAAAACAACTGCTCCACAAGTGCATGGCTCAGCACAGAAGAGCCAGCTCATCAGGACAGGACTCAGCAGTCCACCTGCATCTTAAGGACAAAGGACACTCATTTGAAGATAGTAATGTACAGATTTTGGCCAGGGAGGACAGATGGCTTGAGAGAGGCATCACCTCTCACCTGTTTACAATTCAGTCTTAAGAACTCTCCCCAGGAAGATGAAACCACATTCACACCTAGCCACAAAAGACCCTTCTAACGAACCCCATTGTGGCAGAGGGAGCACTATCGACTCACATAATGAGGGGGAGGAGCATTTGAAAGGGTGTCCCCTGCCTTCGCCCTAAGTCAGGGGACACCCTGAACAGGTGTAGCCCTGTCTATCACAGGGCTACACTTAGAGACAGACAACCAAGCACACTCACATTCACACCTACGGACAATTTCGAATCACCAATTAACCTTAACATGTTTTTGGACCCTGTGGGAGGAAGCCGGAGAACCCAGAGAGAACCCACGCTGCACTGGGAGAACATGCAAACTCCACGCAGAAAGATCCCGGGTATCCTCACCGGGACGCAAACCGGCGACCTTCTTGCTGCAATGCATCAGTGCTACCAACTGCGCCACCTTGCAGTCCAGGAATAATTTTAAGTTGGAATATTTATAGTAACATTAAAGTAGTGATGAAAAACTCTTTAGACCGGTGAAGCAAACAACGTTCCTCCACCATAGAGGACACGTCTGTGTTAGCATTCAGGCCCTTTAGGCGAATGCTAAAAGAAGCATAAACATTGAAATTACAGGAGCCATAAAGAACCTCATTTAACAACTTCCAGTTCAGTTTCCTCCCTTTGAGTGTGCCAATGCAGCTTCTGACACTCACACACCCTGATTAGTTTCTTTAAACATCACTGAGCTTTTATTTAAAAAGTGTAGCACACTTTACAGACTCCCTGTAATACATGGGCTATGAAATGATACTCAAAATAATAATAATAACAAAATCCAGGTTACAATAGGGCTGCTCACCAAGCTCTATTACTGGGTATGGACTCTTATTTTGAAAGTGGACCCAAGCATACAGATGGTTGTCTATCAATATGTGTGTGAGAAAGAGACAGAATAAAAGCACTGTTTGGTCAGCTCTTTTGAACATCAAGGAAATTGTGTTGTGACAGTCTCGTACAGGGGGAAGCCATTAGAAAGTGTGTTTATTTTGAAAAGCCAACGTATTACAGAGTCCCTCGTAAGTCTTTTGTAGTATTTCAAAATGTTTATTTTGATACTGTGTTAAATTTTTTATTTTTTTTTAAACGAACCAGTGGCTTTTCATTGAAAAGTGCACATACTGAGCCTTCTCTTAGCCTTGTTAGAGTCTTGTTCCTTTTTAAAGAAGAAACAACATGCAGCTGCTGTAGATCCCTTAACCAGTTACATTTGAGAGACTCTTAATTAGAAGTTTAAACCAAAAGATATGGAGCCACTAAACACTCTATGGCTGATGTTGGTCTGGAACATGTCAGAACATGTTAGAACATGTGCCACGGCTTTCTTAATATCATTAATAAAAGGTGTGTTAATTTGCCTTGAAGCTGCTGTTCGATACGTCTTACTGATAAAGCCACTACAATATTATAGATTGCTGATGGAGGCAGCCATGTTTGGGGTCCTTTTTTATCAATCCAGTGTCAACAAGCCAATCACCTGTCAGTAGTTTTGGTGCAGAGAGAGGGGCAGACAGGCACATTAAAAATCAAACAAATGGTAACAATTAAAAAACTACAACTTGTACTGAAAAAAAAATCTTGTAGTGTTTGAAGTACAATCTTGATATAGTTTCATGTACGTTCTGTGTATTGTATTGATTTGGTCGCAGCTTAAAGAGACTCACTGATTCTGATTTTCACCAGACATTTGGGGGGTCAAATATAATGGCAGCCAATAAAAGGTTTGGTCCGTGCACTCTGTGCTCTGAGGGGGTTTATGAACAAACCAGAAGTCTTACAACAATGACACTCACACTGGGTGAAAGGGGATAAAAATGCTTACATTTGTATGTCTGAATTGTTCATGTACAGTACAAGTATGTGAGAAGGACACAACATTAAACCTTTTTCATAAATAATTTTGGTTTCAAATTTAGATGAACTAACTGAATGAAAGTTCTAGATTTTCCAAAAATTCAAAAAACTTAAACTGCTACTACATGGGGAAAAAAAACGGAAAAGATATCAAAACACAGATTTGATTCTAAGCCTCATGACCCATCAAAACTTTGGGTCAAGTTTCTACTGTAAAATATACCACAGATACAGGGTTCCAAAGATGGCTGGGTTTTGACTTCCCAATATTTCAATAGAGCAGTTTTTTTGGGGGGGGATTTTATTTAAAAAAACACAACGAATCACGACCAAATGACACAGAAAACCATTCCTGATCAGGCTGCATGTTTTGTTATATAATTTGCATTGGTTTTCTCAAAGTTGCAGGATGAGTTAGGTGCCTATATTATTGAACAAACAATGAAACAAAGTGCCTCATGTAAAACTAATACTATCGTTGAGTGCAGAAATTCATTTTATGTGTCACTATAAAAATTAAAAACGGTCCCTTCTTAAAAAATTGGAATCTGACTGCCAGACTGAGTGATGAATGGTCTGGCTGCATGGCGATGTCGCCACTGAGGCCAAAAGGGCGAGACAGTGTTAAGTAACACTGAACATGACCTGAAGTATTTCCAAAAAATACAAAGTCAGTGAAATTTGTTATGCAACCGAGTAATGATTTAAATCTGATTTTGAATATTTTTAATTTGTATGTACAATTGATTCTCTTGAAATTTAAGATGTTTTGTTATTTTCCTTTTGTTTTGTTCGTTTTTCTATCTTTTACAGATGAACATCAACTACAGTAAGAGTTTTCTAATTTACTGTGTTATATTTATTTATGCCTACCTAAAGTTTTGCTTTTTGGTGGATATACCAGAAAATGGGACTGCTTAAAAATTGCAGAAACAGAAAAATGTCTATCCTTTTGTCTTGAGCAATAAAACAACAAAAGATGTCAGTCCTTCAATAAATTAAAGTAAATTGAACTTCAAAATTTACCGGAAATGACTGTCTAGAATAAATACAGAGATTTAAGGCAGATCAAAGTACTAGATTCAAGAGAAATTACAGCTAATTCTAGAACAATCTAAGATTTTATTTTCTTATTTTTAAAATACATCACGAGCATAAATTATGACTTTATAGACCCAGTAATAAATAAACTGAAAACTGAATTTGAATTGATCACATAACTTTGACTGTATAAGTGAGAAATCGGCAAACCACCAACTGGCGGAATAGATACTGTAAATCTACTCCCCAGGAAGTATTTGCTTGTCTCAGCACCTCCTGTGTGACAGCTGATGTCACTTGTCTAAATTTAGCCTGTGGCTCGTGATGGATATATCAGAATATTATTTGTGTTAGGGGTCGAAAATACTCAGTGCTGCAAGAACACGTGTCAAACATTTGTTCAACTGTATAAGATTTGCACTCAGTTACCTAACAAAGCAAACACAACATCTGCTGCTGTGTGGTTTAAAGTTGTCATCTGCAAAGCTGTGAATGGGAATTGCTAACAACTAGTTTAATCACTGAATGACTGGAGCTCATTCTGAGGCCAAGGTTTCAACTAAAGAGGTCAGACTAACACACTGGTAAGGCACTGTACCGTGGAGACATTCAGGCAAAGTTTGAGCCTATACAGGTGGAAACATTATGAGAGAAAGATGGGGTCATTCTATATTTTTCTATTGTCAGCGAATCCCAATTGCCAAATGAACAATGCATTGAACACTTTCTGACTACCCCACCATGTCTGTGGGTATCAGGTTAGGGACCCAAGGGTTATAACTGAAGATGTAAATCTTTAACAACACCTGACAAATACAAATTACAAAAGGGTCAGCATTTTATTAAAACAATTGGTCACAAGATGACTTAGATGTAAACTGTAACTCTGTTTTCTGGTGTCTAAAAAATGGTTCCACACAAAACAAGCACCATGTATACAAACACATGAACAAAAGTTAAGTTTAGACCCGTGTTATGCTATAAATAGTTGTGGCAAGGCTTTGAGGTCAAATGTATGGACAGTCATGTGTTGTTGGCATTTGCAGCCTGAATTTCAGTTGCCTTTTGTATGCTTGTTGGTCGTGACAGTAGCATTCTTCTTCCATGCCACAGCCCCCCCCCCTCACTGTTCAACAGCTAGTGTTCCGAGCTTGTGATCTGTAAATCTGGCGGGACGTCCTGAGTGCCGCCCCGTGAAAAAGATCTCTGCTGATCACTTCAACACTGGCACAGACGTGTTGAACACTCAGCTAGACAGATATAGCAGCAACTGGAGAAACAGTGTCCCAAACAGGCTAAATAGCAGTCAGTGTGTTAGTCTTCTCTACCTCTGGCAACACCTTCTGGAAAATAGGACAAACAGGTCAAAATGGAGATTACACTTGAAGATGATAGCAGCTCATCACCCAATTTTGAATACAAGGGAGCTCATCAGGCCTTTAGAGATCGCTGGAAAGGGACAGATGACACAATGTGTCGCCACAGCATGTCCTTCCATCTGCACCACACGCTGAGGAGCGAATTCTTTGCCAGCTACCTCTACCTGCTTGAGAAGATTCCAGTGGGTAAGAAGGACCACACAGAAGTTCAACCTCACTCAGTCAAAATGTCAAGATTTGTTTTATTTATGTATTCATTTATTTTAAAAGTAAACCTTAAAAAAAACACACGTGGTTTTGCACGCTTTGTGAGTAGGTTAGAAAAGGTTTTACGAAGTTGTGTCCTACTGTGTTCCTTTCTAATGGTCACTGGCTTCAAACCTCAATTATACACCTTTGTGGGCATATACATGTACAGTTGCAGACAGCATGAATGTTCAGTTGTTACTGAAGTACTCTGTAGTCTGCTTGGAATTCACTGTGAGGACTCTGTTCTAAACATGCACAGGTCAGTCAGCATTAGTTATTCTGTGCATGCACACTACTGCTGAGCATGTGCACCACTGACCCTGTAACGTATCCACTGCATGGACACAAATTTTGGGCAGCACAGGGATGTCTTCTTGCGGTTTTAACATTTAAACAGAAAATCTCAGTGAAATGGCTTTGCTTTTCATAGTGGATGATGAAACAAATCTCAATGTAAAACCTAAAAGTCAGGATGAATTCAGTAAAATGCATGAATGTCATGCTGAAGAGCTTGTGCTGATTGTGTGGGGCGGCATGGTGTTGCAGTGGTTCACACTGTCATCTCACTCACAGGTGGAAGGGTTCAAATTTCCTGGTCACCCTCTGTGTTAAGTCTGCATGCTCTCGGTGTAAGCAGAGCCAGTGGTTTTCAACGCAATTTTATTTAATGTAAATTCACAACATATGTCATCTCACAGCGCTTAACATAATAAGGTAAAGCCCTTATGAATTTTGAAAAGAGAACCCACCAATGCTCAATCTATGAGCAAGTGGTTGGCAATGGTGGGAAGGAACCAAACCTAGACGTTCTATATGCATGGACTAGTTTCTCAGCATCACTCTGAGACAGGATGTTTCTATTTTTTTTGTTTTTTTTTAATATTACATAGATGAAAGAAGGCTGTCTTACAAACATGCTTTATAGGAATGTTGAAAGACATCCTGGTCAAAAACAACTCCACGATTCTTTACACTAGAACTGGAGACCAAGGCAATGCCATCAACAGTAACTATCTGATCAGATAGTGTGTTTCTGAGGTGTTTAGGGCCAAATACAATAACCTCATTCTGAATTTAAATGAAGAAAATTAGAGGTCGTCCAGGCCTTTATGTCCTTCAGACATGCCTGGAGTTTGACCAACTGATTGGTTTCATTTGACTTTATAGATAAATAACAGTGGGAATTTATGCAATGCTTCCTAATAATAGTGCCTAAGGGGAGTGCATACAAAGTAAATAATGTTGGTCCTAACACAGATCCCTGTGGAACTCCATAACTAACTCTGGTGTGACTGGAAGAATCATCATTAACAAGAACAAACTGGAATCTGTCTAATAAATATGATTTAAACTAATTTAGTGCAGTTCCTTTAAGTCCAGTACCATGTTTTAGTCTGTGTAATAAGATGCTGTGATCCACTGTATAAATTGCAGCACTGAGATACAGCAGAACAACTACAGAAACTAGTCCACTGTCTGAGGCTTAAAAAAGATCATTGATGACCTTCACCAGTGCTGTCTCTGTACTATGAAACTCTTTAAACAAACCATTTCTTTGCAGATAACTTGCAGCCACTTTTTCTCAGAATTTTAGAAATCAAAGGGAGGTTGGATATGAGCCTATAGTTGGCTAAAACATCTGGATTGAGAGTAGCTTTTTGAGAAGTGGTTTTATTACAGCAACTTTAAAAGCCTGCGCTATATAGCCTGTTAGCAAAGAGAACAAAGAGAGTTTCGAGCATGACATCTGAGTTGCACCAGGAAGGTTAATCAAATATGCTGGTAAGCATTTGCAAGAGCCCAGTCCTGCCACTGTGCTATTCTGTATACATACCAAAGTGTATAGAAAGGATGAATGTAGCCTCCAGGTTTGAAAAGTGAAGCCAAAGCGGAAGTACATTCTTTCGTAATGATCAACAGAGGAAGATTCTGAATGCAAAAAAGTCTAGTAGTGTCTATGAGAAGGTGACTCTACTTTCCCATATATATATATATATATATTTTTTACCTTAGTAAACATTTTCCTTGTGAGTTTAAAGTCTCAGTTGATACTTTTAAATCTCCTACAATACAGAATGATGTCATTTTAAGTGGGACCACCATTTAGAGTCAAACAGAGGATGAAGGTTTATAGTATGCCTACTTTACCACTGACAAGTCACTTGCACACTGGTATCCCTGGTGTTCTCAGTTTCTCAGGCAGATCCACCCCTCACTCATCACATCTAGTTTGAAAAAAATAAAAATAAATAATGGTTGTGACAGCCATAATCCACAAACCAGTGGGCGATATCACAGTGGCTACATTCATCTTTTATAGACATTCTGTGATGCATATGTAACTTTTGTAGTCAGAGTTTGATCTGCAGATGACATTAGATATGTGCAACTGCTGATTATTCATTTGCTAAGAGGGCTATACATAACCATTATATTCATATCTGGAATTCCTGAAATTAATTTTTGGAGACTGTTATAAGCAGGTGCTGCTAAAGCAACGCTAGCTATCTCTGAGATCATAAATAGTACTAAAAACTAAACAAAAATAAAATCTGGAGGACAGAATTAAATCTGAGCTGCAAGAAAAGATGAATTTAGATATATTTAACAACTTTTAGTGAATACATGCCAGGCATGTTCATGATAGACTCAATATTTATACAAATGATTTAGAAGGGACATAATGCTACATTTTAATACAAATATTTTTTATACAAATATGATGTTTGAGACATTAATAAAGGTACACAAAAATGAAAAAAAAACTAACTAAATAAATAAATAAAATTTAAGATAAAATTATAATTGGAAATGGAAATAAAATGCTGCAGATCATTGAAAGTAGATTTAAAACGTGTTTTTTGATCACAGATTTTGAGATTTTTTTAAATTTCTTTTTATTCTACAGTGTTGAAGCTAAAATTTCAAATGCACCCTCATCCCTTGTTCAAGTCTGGAATTAGCCTTTTCTGTAGAACTTTTCCAAGTGAATAACAGCATTTGGCACCTGTTTATTAAAGTGTATGATCAAAGGAACTAAACTTTTCATGGAGTTAGTGAGTGAACCTAAACTAAGAAATATTTATGAATTCCGTGTATATTTGCGCATGGCTGGGTGGTTCCTAAAGTATTTCAAGGGACATGATGTCAAATTAAATAGAGCTTATTCCATTCTTTGCTTTGGTAATGAGGGATATGACAAACCTATAACAAGCACTATGATGCTCTATGATAGTTTGAATCACATCTTCAATTAGGAACCATCTCCATAATGAAACAAATGCTCTTGCACTCTGAGCCATTCATGCATTTTATTTCTCCAAAGTTGCCTCTGTAGCTTCTTAACTTCTCTTCATTGGCTCCCTTTTTCTTTCAGAATATGATTTTACTGTATCCAAGTTACACAGCAAAATGTCGATCACATATGAGCGAGCTCGCAGCCTCAGATCCTCAGGTGAGGTTCTATTTGCTGTTTCAAGCTTGAGGGCTAAATCCAAAGGTGACCGTGTTGTTTCCATCAGGGGTCCTCAGCTTTTGTATGACCTGCCTGAGAAGATAAGAAGCACATAACAGAAGTCACTCTTAAGATCTGTATTTATAGACTTTCTTTTATGTGATGTCATTGTTTTATTGCTTTTTCAAGGTTTCTATTGTTTTAATTTGTATATATATATATATATATTTGACCTTTGTGCCTTTATTGGATAGTGTTAGTGAGAGAGAGACAGGAAAGTAGGGGAGAAGAATGGGGGGAGGACATGTGGGAGAGGGCCATGAGCCATGGGATTCGAACTCATGACCTCCACATTGGGACTGTAGCCCTGCACATGGGACGCCAGCTCAACCAGGTGAGGTATAGCGGCGCCCCTTAATTTCTATATTTTTAAAATTGTTATTTTGTTTTGTCTTGTTTAATTTTATCTTAATTTCACCCTTCTCTGTTTAGCCATACTGTCTGGCTTTCTGTTGTTAAATTGCCTCTGGGTATCCTACTTTTGCATTGCCTATCAAAGCACTTTATGAACACTTTTGTTTATAAAAGTTCTATACAAATAAACATTCTTCTTCTTCCTATTATTATTATTATTATTATTATTATTATTATTATTATTATTATTATTATGTAATCCTCTCAAGAGTGTGCACTTGTCTGTCATGAGACTGCAAGTTGCAGAAACAGGAGATCCTGACCGGCTGGCCATTCTGGCTCAAAGATGTCTTACTTTGTTACCACTAACTTGATACAAGGCCCATTAATGGTATGGCATGTTGAGCATGAAAGCACTAACTCATGTCAGTCAATGCTATACATGGCTCGTGGTCAGATCATTTACAACAAATGAGCAGCAAATGACAAGCAAGATGAGTACACCTAAAATAAATATATTCTGCACATACTGGGAGGTTTGTCTTAAACCTAAACTGTTTGGTTTCAGACATTTTAAATTGACAAAAACTTCAGCTCCTGTATCATTTAATCAAATGGCTTATTCTGTTCCATAGAAGGTCAAAGGTCGGCTTCTCATGAGCTAGTCTACCCTGTGAAACAGATGGTCCTGATGGCACTGGATCGACACTTTCTTGGCAGACAAATGTTTCATCATGCTGTCTTGTCTCCTTGGTCTTGCTTCATGCTTCTATACCTCTTTCCTCTGATAATTGTCTTGAAACATTTCGCTCAACACATATTCTGTTCAATCAATCACTCTTGCAAACAAGGCTGTTAAGCATCCACATGCATCTTTGCCCTGACTGTCAAAGCAGTCACACAGCCTGTAATTGCCTTGTGCTCAGTATGAACACATAAAGTGAGAATGAATAGTTTGCCTGTTGCCACACACTTTTCTTATCTAGGCCTTAATTGTGACTTCTATAGACTTTAGGATTTCGTGTAGCAACCAATAATGTAATTTCCTGAAATAAAAATGTAATAAAATTTGCTTTTAACCTGATCAAAAATGTACAACAATATAAAAAAAAAATAAACAAACAAACAAAACAATACTGTGATGCCTTGCCCAGTAGTGTAATAAAATGTCCAGACTGACATGAAATGTTGGGATGTCTGTGGCTCAGACAGTGGAGCATTAAACATGAGGTTGGTAGTTCAATTCCCAATCCCTCCACACGTCAGTATAGCCCTGACTCAAATTTCTCCCAATGGCAACGCCCGCACAGCAGCGCTGCCACCACTGGTCTATCAATGGGTGAATGAGGAACACACTGTAATGTGGTTTGTAGAACCTGCAGTTGGACACCCATGACAAACTTATAATTTACAGTAATTTTTTGCTTGACCAATAGGTTTCTTCTGGCTGGAAATGCCATAAACAAGTGACAAAAGACAGAAAAACATTGTGTTGGAGAAGTTAATAACAAATGTTAACAATTTCTGCTTATTAAACATTTTACCGAAAATGTGAATTGTCAGTTCCTTTTCCCCTGGCAAAATGTCCGTTCTTCCTTTTCCTGTACCATCTCAAGGCCATCCTGGTCTTGATTTTAAGTCCCACACTAATGCAGAGAGAGCTTATGCTTCAGATCAGCTGTATCCTATAGATTTTTCATTGGGTTGGGGTTTAGACAGGTTATTTCAGTGTATTCATGAATTCTGTTTACACATCATATTTTTCAGTCTTATTATTTGTTTATGCTTGAGGTGTCTGAATTAAGTTTCAGCTAGATAGTCTTAATCCCGGAATAAGTCCCTGCTTGGAATTCGTGCTGTTTGAAAGTTAAGGAAATTATGGAGTTGGAGCCTGCAGCTAATTGCTGATTGGTAATTTGCAGTAGCATTTCAAAAACTCATAACTGCCAACAGGTTTTCTTGCAGGTGATAGTCATGAGGACGGAGCAGCCCAAGAGATTTTATGCCCAGTGGATGAATGACAAAGCTTAAGTTTAGTTGTACATTTTTGAAGACATTCAGGGCAAATTCAAGACTGTTGCACTTTTGATATGTTTGTGGGCTAATTTTCTGGACCTGTTTGGTCATCCTGTAGAAATGCAAATACACTTAGGATTAGCCTCCTGGATATTGATTGTTAGGAAGTTAAAATTTCTCACATTTTGGTGGAAAACACCTATAGTTAAAACAGTTCCATAATGTGTTTGGGCTTGTAAAGTTTGAAAAACCAAAAAAAGAAGTAATATGTTCATCAAACTGGGGCTATCTTCAATTCTGCCGTCTATGTGTCCTTACAGTCAAGCTGTTTCCAGTCACCTGTGAGTACATCAAAGGAGAAAAGCAGTTCTACTACAGAGCCCAGCAGTTCTATGAGGATGTCCCTGCCTCGGAGGAGGGCATGATGGGAGATTTTGTTGAGATATCCAACGTTGATCTGGAAGGTTCCCGCCAGTTTCTGAAGAGGTTTGTGGTGAGTTACAAGATACTAAGTCACATTCAAGTGTACAACAGATCAACAGTTTAGTCAAATTTGAGAAGCTTTGCTGTTTCTCCATCATTTACGCATGGTGCAGTTGTGCATGACTGCGTTTCACTAGTATATTAATTTGCACTGGTGTAACTGTCTTTTAATAAACATGTCAGAATCTATTTTGGGTGAGGAATCCATCAACCTGACTGTACAAAAACAATTCCATCTTGTTTCATGTGGGTGGAAACCTCAGTACAGTTTCCAATAGTAGCACAGTTTTGATGCCAGCCCCATAAACACCCATAAAGAGCACACAAAGCCAACAGCTGCTGATCAGTTTGTACCATGGTAAGTCCTTAGCAGGCACTAATTTGTTCACATTCTGGAAGAAAGGGCTTTTTAAAAAATCTCTTTAGAAATAGCTCTAGTTTCATATATTGCAATATGGTTTATATATCTCTAAAGGGGATGTATCATCTGGATATATAAGCCTCACATATGAATATTTGTTGGCATGCACATGTATTTGTGTATGTTGTACATTTGACTGTGGGGCACAATGTCTTTTTTTTTTATAATTGTTAGAATGCTAGATAGTCCAAACACTAAGCTGAGGAAACAGGATTAACCCAGAGTTACTTAGGATCAGCTTTAGAGGCACTCTGCAAAGACTGAATGCTTGAAAGGAACTACAGATAGCTAGATGACTGCTGTTCGTCTGGTGCTGATGTAAACACAGCATGCCCAGATTTAATAATTTACTGGCTACTACAGTACAGTGCACTAAATATATTAAACATCAATTTTCTCTTCTAAGAGTGGATGTTTCTGTCTATAGTGAGACCATTAGTGGTTACAGTTTAACTGTTAAACTGTTAACACCTAAACTATGCATATACAACTTACCAGTTATGACCAACCTATTGTACATTCAAATCCACGCTACAGGGCACCAAAAACTGTATTGTAAATTATTCTCTGCAGCAGTTCCCATTACATCCGTCAGTGAACAAAGTTAACTGCAATACCTCTGACTACAGAGCAGAGTTTATTATGCAGGCCACTGAACATGCTACACAACTAAATATATAAGAGAGGTAATAAAAAACATTTCCCCAAACTTGATGATAACCACACCAGACATTGCATAAATGAAGTCACAAAAAGTTTGTAACAGGTTGTGAGTTATGACAGTGGCTAATCTGAGGAGGGAGGTGGGTGGCAGACTCATGTTCAAGTTTTTTGCATTATTGACTCTGTTACTATCTTTTGAATAAGTCTGATTTCAAATGAGTTGGTGACATGTCAAAATTATCATCAATTATTGTACATTTTACAAAGGGCTAAATTATTAGACAAATATGACGGATGTGACATTATTGCACAACTGGTAACACTGCGGCAGAGGGATATATGCTGTGCGTGAATGTAAATCACTGAAACTTGCAGTATAGTAAGATATGGGTTAAAACACAGCAACCTTTCCTTTAATTAATTCCTCCAGCACTGCAGCAGTGTGATAGCATACCACTCCAGTGATGTGATCTTTTGAGATACTGCACAGCATCGTATAGTCAAGTTTAAAAACTCTCCAGTTCCCAACGCTTTATCTTTATGTGATACATGTCTTTTTGGAGTAATGTGAGACTGAAAACCTTTAAAAAAAATGTATTTAATGCTCCAGAAATAAATACATTTTGAATTAAACTTAAAGACTTAGGTGTTTGCTTTTATGTGTGTGCCTCTAATTTGCAGAAATTCTCTATTAATTTCTCAACTGAATGCAAAGACCCTCAATGATAAACCAAAAGAATTAAACAGTCTGCTTCCATCAGCTCTTAGGTGTTCCCAATAGGTCAGCATAGACCTCTCTGTGACTTATGGATATGGCAATAACATGTAACAGAAAAATGTCTTTTAAATGCCTCATTTGTTTTTCTCTGAAAGTTAAAGTTAAAGTTTGTATTGTTTTGTTACATAAGATTGAGCTTTGGTACTTTACTAAATCTGTCCTAAAATAAACCAGTAAAGACACAGTTATCGATATGAAATCTTCCATTTTTCATCAAAAGGGCCCTGGTAAGGCTGGCACACACTGTGCTTTGGATTGTGGGTCCGGGATTGGGCGTGTGACCAAAGGTGTCCTCCTTCCTGTGTTTGAGAAAATGGAGATGGCGGACATGATGGAGCACTTCCTGCTCCATGCGCATGAGGAGTATCTGGGTGCTGATGCCGACCGCATTGAGACTTACTACTGCTACAACCTGCAAGAGTTCACACCTCCAAAAAACAAGTATGATGTCATCTGGATGCAGTGGGTGGCATGTAAGTATGTGGCTGGACCTCTGTCAGTGGTCCTCTCAGAGATTAGCTGTAGTGAGATTTGAATCACATATATTGTCATGACTGCAATTGTAGGTGACGTCATGCTTTTGTAGAAGTGAGGAATGATGCAATAGTGAAGTAGTAAAGAAAATGAAGCCAGACAAAATTGAGGTTAAACAATTTATCAAAACTACTTTACATTTAACATAATTTAAAGTGGCCACTGTGCCGAGCAAAGTGCAAGCACAGGCCGAAGAGATCATGCTTTCAGAGTTCAAATTTGTTGAACTTTGACCACTGTGTGCTATGATGTATGGCCACACAATAGAAACATGGCATCTCACGTGCACATAGAGAAAAGTGGAGGAAAAGCTGGTGTTGTGTCTGAATCAGTCTATGGTCTGAATTCTCAGAATTATATGACACAACTCATTGTGTCATACTCACACTCATTTACCAGAGCACTTTGTGCTTAATGACAAAGTATTAAATGATCAAAATGAGATTGCAAACGAATTCAACTCTTTCCTTATTAATGTGGGGCTGAACATTGCAAAAAAGCTAGAAAACCATACTCAGGATGAAATGTGTAACAGTGCTTCTGGGGGTGGCAGCCGCATTAGTCAGTTAATGTTTCTCAGTGAAATTTCAGAGAATAAAGTTATAGCTATTGTCCAAAAATGCAAAAACAAAACGTCAACTGATTGCGGTGGAATAGACTTGACCATAATTAAGAACACAGTTGACTGCATACTCAAACCATTTAGTTACATTTGTAATCTCTCTTTTAGCACAGGAGTTTTCCCCCAAAAAATGAAGATTGCAAAAATAATTCCCTTTTTAAAAAATGGAGATAAACATATTTTCAATAATTACAGACCAGTCTTGGTGCTTTCCCAGTTTTCCAAAATAAAATAAAAATATGTTTACACATAAATTAGACTCGTTCTTAGAAAAAAACTATTTACTTTATCCACACCAATATAGTTTTAGGTCAAATTAGTCAACCTCTGATGCACTGATACACTTTACCGACGAGATATATACTGCTATTGATATTAAGCAATATATGGTGCGTGTGTTTTTGGATTTACAGTAAGCATTCGATACAGTTGATCACAATCTATTATTATCAAAATTACATAACTATGGTATAAGGGGTCATATTCATAAATGGTTAGAGAGTTATTTAAATAATAGACAGCAATATGTTCAATATAATAACTATAACTCTAATTGCAAAACAGTCGTATGTGGCATTCCACAAGGTTCAGTTATTGGACCAAAGCTCTTTATTTTGTTTATTAATAATATTTATGAGGGTATCAGTAATATGAATCTTTTATTTGCTGATGATACAACAGTTTTCAATTCGGGAAGCAATTTAAATAAATTAATAATGGACATTGCAAGGGAAATAGTTAACTTTAAAAAATGGGGAGGGGGAATTTGTGTTCTGTAAATACTGACTGAAGGCCATCTATGTTTCATTTATGCCGTCTTTGTTATAGGGGCACGTTTTATAAGACTTGTCTTCCTCATGCTCCTATTCAGCCATGTTTTCTTGTTGTGATGTACAATACAATGGGTATGTAAAAAAAAACAAACAAAAAAAAAAACTAAAAACATGGATGAATAAATAAATTAAATTAAATTAAATTAAAACTTTGCGGTTGTATTGAGACTTGGGGTGGAAAGATTTTCATAATAGCAGGGACAGCGTGTAAGGTTTTCAACTAACTATGTGAAGTGCTATCAGATGGCGTATGTTGTGAATTAGCACTGTTGAAGTGTTTGCATCAAACTGAAAGCTTGACGTCACCCTGCTGGAAGTTTGAAAAACTCCAACTTTTTTGCTCACTAATCTGCGGCTGTTCTGGGACTGTGCGCTGAAACCCGTGGTGAGCACAGTGCATACCACGTCCTGTACGAAAGCTGCTAGTAGCAAACAGTGGACAGACACATTTGGGCCAACAAACACCTTAAAAGTTGTAGTTGTGTGGAGGGATTCTTGGGGGCTGTACTATGAAGTAAGTTTGACGTAGTGAGCTTGACAAAAACTGAAGTAACAGTCAGAGGTAACAGGTGTCATAAAGGTGGTTATCAGCTTTCTTTGTTAACTCAGACTTTCAGCTTTAAATTCCGTGCACATTCACATGGAAGCGGGCTGTAACACATCATTTGACTCTTCTTCCACACAGAATGAAGCAATGGCATCCTGCTTACTTTAGTCAACTGGTTATTTTAATGGAGAACAACAAGGAATACAAATTTATGAGGTCAGTAAGCACTGCCACTGCAAATGATGCAAGACAGGAATGCTGGTGGAAAACTAGCAAATGTGCTTCAGTAAATTTGTTTTACCAATCAATGCAGCCGCTTATTCCCAACTGACAGAGCTGTTCAAATTTAAGCGTCATATATTTAAACATATTCACTGCAGTGCATTCAGGTCTGACACTGTCAGAAAATCACTTTAATTTTCAGCCAAGTCAAAGTAAAATGAATGTTGTTGATTAGATATTCTCTGTAATAAACACTACTAGAATAATCCATTTTCTAATCTGTGTTCCATCAGCTGCAGTATCAGCAGTGTAAACAGACAAATCAGAACGAACATAAAAGCATATTTATATGATTTTCGCATCACCAGCTGGATACATTACGGGTTTCCATGGCAACGCGATACACACAGTGTGTGACACTGTAAATACACGGCCTCATTCAGTGGGATTAGTAATGTACAGGTTTATGGATGTAACACATTCCCTCAGCTGAAAGTCTGCATCATTCCGAGAGAATCATCAGGGAATTATTTGGTTAAAGGATAACTGTTCTTTCAGCCAATTTACATCTAAAACTATACACATAACCTGCTCCAGACCAGGTTAGCGCCACAGCATAAGTTACCATGGAGATCTAGCTAGGTTACAAGAGAGCCATCTTTAAGACACTGAAAACTCTGACTTCAGGCTCAATATACCCACTGATCTCACTTTGTAGCACAGCTCTCTGGCCTTGTTGGCTTGCATGCATGGATAGATGGATGGCTGGGGAAGATAGTTTCCCTCTTTTTCATGTCTGGCAGTCTTGACCACTTTGTTATAGTTACACTGTGTATTGCCAATGCATTACATAATGTAAGTTGTCTTTGCATCAAGTGCTGTTGTTGTCATCAGCCAGGTCAAGTTTTGGCATATACCAGTAGAAAAGCTAATAGAAACAAAGATCCAGAAAATGATATCTCTCTTGTGGTTTTTTGTTTTGTCTCTGTCTTTCAATTCAGGTCATCTAACAGACAAGGACCTGATGAACTTCCTGATTCGCTGTAAGAAGAGTCTGCGTCCAAATGGTGTCATCATAATGAAAGACAATATGGCACGGCAGGGCTGCAAGCTGGACCCCATCGACAGCAGCATCAGCCGCCACCTGGACATCATGAAAATCATCATCAGCCAGGCTGGCCTTGAGATCCTGGCTGTCGAGAAGCAGGAAGGCTTTCCTGAGGTCATCATGCCTGTCTGGATGGTTGCTATGAAGTAGCAGTGACATTTTTGTTCCAAAAATTTCAGATTGTTGTTTGCTTCCTTTGAAAAATACAAAGAAGAAAATCCAACTTAGAACTAAATTCACTTGTTATTCTATTTTAGAAAAAAATCTTGATCTGTGATCATGTCTCTGAGACCGACAACAGCATCGCAACAAATGTCACAAAGTCCTCAGAACATAAATATTGAAACAGCGGTGTGGACAGCATTGTGGAGATAGGAGCATTTTTTCTGCTCTGTACCTAAATAAAATATAGCTTTCACTAAGAATTTTAGCTTCTGCAGAAGAACTCCATGTGTCCACTGTGCCAGACTGCAATTTACTGTTAGTCAACTACTTTCAGGTTTTGTGTCAAGATGGTGTCACTGAGTAGAGCCTCAATTCTCAGTGTGGAAAATCTGTTCCTGTCAGAGCTATGAGGATCATTGGAATAACATATGTATTTTAACTAGCTATTGGGTATCTTCTCTGAGAGGATTTGACTAAAGGAAATGTGTTACACTGTGAGTGCTGCATATGAATAACAATAATCTATCATTTTATATTGGATTTAAAAACAATAAACCTTTTGTACTTAACATGCAACATGTATCTGGATATGTTATCTGGACAGAGGCATCTTATCACAGGTCTATAAATTTACACCTGGTATAAAAAGCATTTTAGTTAACTGATTCTGCCCACATTGTGATCTTAGGGGATCTTAGTTAGGCATGAGAAGCTTAGGGGAAGGGGCTCAGACTCCAAGCTCAGACTATAGGTATTTTTTTTGAAAAGCAGCTAGAACAGGAAGAGGAAGAATCAACTCAGCCTGTTGGCAATGACTTTTACCTTAGAATATGGCCACAGATTGCATTTCCACCAGGACCAGATGTGATCTGTCTGAACTGATTAAAATCGGATTATAATGCATACTATGTGGATTTTCTCAATTAGATAAGATATCCAGATACAGATTAAGATGTTAAGACCAATTGGACAAGGAGTATTAATGTCACCCTTCAGTACTGCATGTAGGTACTGTTGCTCATTTGTGTGTTTGTTTGAGCTATCTAGTAGAGTGTGGTCACTTGTAAATACGCTTGTTTTTATCTGTGTTTTATATTTTTGCTTGTAATATTGCAGCTTAGTAAAAATCAGCTTTTTACATGTGCATCTGTGTAGTGTTTTAATGTGGGTTAGAACCGTATTGCTTTACTAGGTTAAATTCTATTATCTAGAACTGCATCATTACTTGATACATCAATACTTGACAATACATTGTACTCTATGAAAAACAAAACAAAACAAAACAAAAAAAAGGGGGGGGGGGATCCCATCAAAGTCTGGAGCATATGGCTGTAGTTTTATGATTTTTAAAAGCCATTTTATATGTTCCAAACAAAGGCTAATAGGATTAAAGATGTGGAATGATCACTGGCTATTATAATCAAGGCTGGAACACAAATGCTGACCAATTTTCTTTAAATATTCCTACAGTGCAGCCCCTCCACACCCCTTGGCCAATCTGAAATCTTCCAGAGAGCTGGCTCACAACACAGGACATATTAGAGATTCTCTCAGATCATTTTGGTAATTGTCCTAAATATTATTACTATTATTGTTTCTTTTCCATACTAACAGTATGAGTAGCACATTGTTTTGGGTTAGAGATTGGGCTGGGCCTCTGACATGGAGGTGGGGGTGGATTATTTCCCAGTTTTGACAGACAGTGCCTCTTTTCCTATCTGCTCTGGTTTCAATTTAGGCATTTCAGATGTTGTGTGCGTTAAACACAGTTGCCTCCAATATTCAGATGCATGTGTGTCAGTACTTGATGGGAGTGGTGTGGAGTTGTTTTACTCAGAGCTTTTTATGAAAGATTACTTTGTCACTGAGTAGGCTGGCAATGAGAAAATACAAAATCATTCAAGCATTGAAGGTGCGATGGTGTAAGATGACCTCTGCAGCATGTTTCTCTCGTCAGAATCACTATATTAAGATGTGAATAGACCAAACACATTTTCCACATCCCATATGAATTAAAGATCAAAATGGCCCAAAGTTCAACTTGTAGGTATTTTTTTCCTCTCCCCCAGCAAATAGCAGCCAAATGTGCTGTCACCTTTTCAGGAGTGGTTAGCGTTGCTGACAGTCAAAGCTATCATTTCTAATACTGCTCAATGTCCACTGCAGCTGCTCGGCAAAAGTTTGAATACATTAACTGGAATAACACTAATTTGTCCAGTCACGTCAGCAGTCTTGAGCAGCTTAGCTTGAATCCAAACTGAGTGTATCAGAGACAGAGGGAAGACAGAGAGCAAATTCAGATGTAGTAACCAGTACTCTGTTCAGGGCAACACACTGCTGAGAAAAGTTCATCTCAAACCTTGAGCTCTAAAAGTCCAAAAAAGAAAAAAACAAAACAAAACAAAACAAAACCTAAACGTTGGAAGTTATAATAAGTGAATAGTGCCATCTAATAGCACAGGTTCAAAAATACAATTTCATTTCATTTGCTTTTCTTGGAGTCCCTAGAACTGTTTAACCCACTCTTATCAGTTTAAAATGGCAACACCTGTGCAAGTATTTCTAAACAAAAAAAAAAAAAAAAAGAACCAAAACCCACAAATACTCAGTGCTGCCTTGGGGACACGTGCAAGAATGATTACATTTAATGAACCCTTCCTCTAGCACCACTGTCACAGAAAACTGTATTGTACCCCAATACGAGTAGGGCTCTGTTGTGTTGTAGAATTATATTGTGGAGTGTAGCAACCACTGTAGTCTGCAGGGGCTGCTAAGAGTGCTTTTATCTACAACATACTAAAACCCCCAGGAAGGAGTAGAGGGATCATTTTTCAGTGCAGAGGCACCGGCTCAGAGAAATTGAGGTTTCATCTAGAAGAGACTGAGCCTTTGTGGAATTTAAAGTTGAGAAAAACCTCAGTCAGTCAGTCTCTGAGCTAAGATGGTTTCAACAAGACAGAGAGAAGGGTAAGTCTAACCTCCATTCCCTGAGAGAATTCAGGCTAGAGGAATGTGCTTTCTTTTCATCTCCAGTTCTCATAGTAAATCATGTTATTGAAAAAAACAGGCCTGAAGATTTTTAGGCTGCTTTATCTTTGGCAGTCTGTTGGGGTTTTTTAACTCTACCAGCATGTTGGAGAGGGTTGGAGAGTTTGATGGAAAGCATTGCTCAAAACAACAAAAAAGTAAGAATTTCTTCCTATCTGGCAATGGCATGAAAGTCATAGTGTGCATTTAAACTGTGACTAAAATAAGGGATTGCATTTCCAATGTTTTCTTGGCTATAAGTAAGGAGCCAGACCTTGAGGCTCAGGTGGTGCAACATTTCTGAGATATACTGTATGTATATATTTATATGTGTGTGTGTGTGTGTGTATGCAGTTGAAACCAGAAGTTTACATACACTAAGATTACTATGTGTTCAAACTATTTGGGAAAGCCCAGATGATGATGTCATGGCTTTGGAAGTTCTTGATATGTTAATTGGCAGCATTTGAGTTAATTGGAGGCACACCCGTAGAAGTACTATAAGGTACACCTCAAACAAACTGCTTCATTTTGTGACAACATGGGAAATCTATAGAAATCAGCCAAGATATCAGGATCTGGTTTATCCTTGGGTAAAATTTACAGATGCCTGAAGGTTCCATGTTCATCTGTTCAAACAATTATACACAAGCACAAACATCATGAGAATGTCCAGCCATCATACCGCTCAGGAAGGAGACGGGTTCTGTGTTCCAGAAATTAAGTGTTTTGGTGAGAAATGTGTATCAACCTCAGAACAAAAGCAAAAGACCTTTTGAAGATGCTGCTGAAGCTGATAAGAGAGTGTCATTATCCACAGTGAAACCAGTCCTGTACCAACATGGGCTGAAAGGCTACTCAGAGAGGAAACATAAAAAAACAGATTACAGTTTGTAAATGCACACAGGCAGAAATACCTTCATTTCTGGAGACATGTCCTGTGGTCTGATGAAACTAAAACTGAACTGTTTGGCTATAATGACCATCGTTACATTTGGAGGAAAAAGGGGGAAGCTTGCAAGCCTGAGAACACCATCCCAACTTTGAAGTACGGGGGTGGCAGCATCATATTGTGGGGGTGTTTTGCTGCAGGAGGAGTGGTGCACTTCACAAAATAGATGGCATCATGAGGAAAGAAGATTACGTGGCAATATTGAAGCAACATCTCAAGACATCAGCCAGGAAGTTAAAGCTTGGGTGCAAATGGTTCTTCAAATGGACAATGACCCTAAGCATACTGCCAGATTAGTTACAAGATGACTTAAGCACAACAAAGTCAATGTTTTGAATTCATCAAACTATTGTGAGAAGCTTGTAGAAGGAAACCCAAAATGTCTGACCCAAGTCAAACAGTTTAAAGGCAATGCTACCAGATACTAAGGAAATATATGTATACTTCTGACACTGACGAAAGTCATAAAAAAATCTTTAAAAACATTCTCTTTCTCTCATTTTTCTGGTGTTTAGCAAATAGAAATCATTTTGGTAATCATAACTGAACTAAAACAGGAAAAGTTTAGTCACATTTAATTTT